CTGTATAGGGTTTCCGAGGAGCAGCTGGTGAGCTTGAAGCGCTGACCTTGCAGTTCAAACAGTTTTACAGTCTGGCATGTTAACACACAGCATCACACCAGGACTCCAAGGAGCTTAGAGGTAGTGAAATCAACTTAGAGCGTCAAGTTGGTAAATAGTCTGTTACTGCAATGTTACTGTATTTTATTGGATGGAATATGTTTGTTATTTTTTTAAAGATCTGAATTCTCTAACAGGTGAGAGATGCTGCATTATTGGCCATAGTAGAGATTTACAGACATGAGGGAGAGAAACTGAGGATGGACCTTTATAAGAAAGATATTCCCCCTGTTCGGTAAGTTGTGCTCAATTTACTTTTTGCCATTGTTTAAATTTCAAGTGTTTATTTCAAATACTTTCATATATTTGGAAATGTTTTAAAATTCAAAAATGCAAAAGAATATATAGGCTGTTGCCATTTAGGGAGTCCTGGTGTAGTGCTGCAGGATAATGCGCTGGTCTACAAGGTCAGTTTGAACTGCAAAGTTGGCAGTTCATACCCACCAGCCGCTCCTTAGAAACCCTATACAAGGTTGCTATGGGTTGGCATCGACTCAACGGCGCTTAGCAACAACAATTGCCATTTAGAATGTTCTAACATCCTGTAACTGTTTTGATCACTCTTTCATATATATTCATTAATCATTTGTATATTATTTAATATGTAATTGAGCAGCATTATTAAGTAGCTTTCTTTTGATACCAGGTAGTAATAGTCATTATTTGAAAGATGCTTGAGTAAAGATTTAGTTTAAAAAAAAAAAAAAAATCTATTCATGAAGCATATATATTTTGAATACTTAGGAGGTTGATGGTTCAAACTTGCCAGCCACTCCTAAGAAACCCTATACAGAGTGGCTGTGAGTTGGAACAGACTCGATAGCATTTAACAGCAACAGCTGTTGAAATTTACTACGGAGAATACTGGCTGACAGATCTTGTTTAAAAGCTTCTAGTGTACCAGATCCTTTTTCCCAAAGAATCGTTAGTACTTCTCAGAGTTTATATTTTTATTTAAGATACTGTGCCAGTTAAACTGAAGTTTCTTTTCACAAGGAAATTATAGTCCCCATTTTAAGTAGATTCACTAAAAAAATATTTTTCCTTTAACTTTTTGTTATGGAAAATTTCAAATATACACAGAAGTTGACAGAACCTGCATGTATCCATTACCCAGCTTTGGCAGTTAATCAACTTGTGGCCAGTTTTATGAGATATATGTTCACCTAGTTACTTTCTTCTCAGTTATTTTGAAAAAAATTCCAGGCACAATATTTCATCAGAAAAATGTCAGTGTATTTCTAAAAGAAAAAAAAAAATTTTTTTTGGATTCTCAATCACAATGCTGTTATGAGTCAACATTTTAAATACAATTCCATGATATTCAGTTAGGGTTTAGATTTTCAGTTTTATAAATGCTATAAATAAGTGTGTATATATTCTTAATAGTTTGTTTGAATTGAGGTACAAATAAACACCACCCATAAAATTAGTTGCTATGTTTTACAAGTCTGTAAAAATCTTTTATGTTCATCCAACATACTCCTTTGTATTTTTTTTCCCTCTTATGAATTTTGTTTGCTGAATGTACTTGGTAGTTTATCCTGGAACGATTTTCACATTCTAGACTTGGCTGACTCTCTTCCTGTGGTGTGGGTCACTGAGTTGGAATCCACTCTACATCAGTGGGTTTGATGGTTTTTCTTTGCTTATTTACTGTGTTCTTCTTTCCTCATTATATCCTGTAACTGGATTTAGAGGCTTAATTGAAATTTTGGGGAGTGTGGGCAAGACTTCTTCATAGATGGTGGTGCTATGTTTTATTATCAGGAGTCTTAATAAATCTGGTTGCTTATCATGTAGAATTTTTATCCTGCCAATTATTTTCTGATAAAAAGATTTGCTTATGAATAGGTAATTTGTTTACTAGTTAATAATCACCTTCAACTTTCAAGGAGAACAGAAATTTTATTTGTGTAAATTCTCCATTTCATATGATGAAACAACTGATATTAGCATATATTTTGTGCATGTTTGAGAATATGTTTATATTTATGTATATATTTCTTTGGTTGCGTGCAATGTTGTATGTTTTCAAGTTGCTGCTGGTAGGTTTAAACTGCCAACCTTGTGGTTAGCAGTCCAGTAGTTATTATACAACACTACACTAGGACTCTATGTATGTATGTATGTATGTATGTATATACATACATACATATATATACATATATACACATGTATGTTGTTGTTGTTGTTAAGTGCCGTCGAGTCGGTTCCGACCCAGAGCGACCCTGTACAGGGTTTCCGAGGGTGTAAATCCTTACGGGAGTAGAAAGCCTCATCTTTCTCCCGCGGAGCGGCTGGTAGTTTCGAACTGC